GTAAGGACGAAACCCGTTATATAAATTAGATATGAATAGTCTGCCTGAAGGTAGCCAGTGGGAAAAAAATTTACATTTTTTATCCATTTGTTGTCTACCTTATTTTATGCCCTTCACTTCTTTTGTCAAATTTTTCATAGCTTTGGGCAGGTGGTTGCTGGGATTCATTTTCAGTGCCCTGCTTGCCACCGCTTTTTCATTTGTTGTGACAGGAGCGATCATCCTGGCCACATTGCCAGAGCTCAGCCTGGAAACGCCATTGCTCTTTTCCTCACATTCCTTTTCTTCCTTTTTAACTTCATGCTTTTGAAGCTTTGAGAAGAGTACGGTAGCTCTAGATAGGTCAACTGGAATCTCTTGGCATGCATTAGTGTCTTCAAGAAACAGCATATACATGTATTACCGTGGTTTAATGCTGGGTCCTTGGTGACTCCACTGATTGGAGCAGCATATTCCTGGTACATGTAGTTGCATTTATCGTAGTACAAGTTGCATTAACTTTATAATTAGCTGAATGTGACCATTATTAGTGTAGAAAATGAACCTTATTTATACTGGAATGTTTCAAGGGAATTCATAGCATTTGCAAACCTATGACTGTGTAGTACTGGTATAGTACTGCTTCAGGCCACCATCGGAGGCATTGGTGTGCAAAAAGAATAGTTTCTCATAATCTGGGATGCTCACCTCGGGGACAAATCAGGCAGTCCAACAGGTATTCCAGCACATGCTGTTGCTCAGTCTTCCATGTTATCGGTTGCTTTGATGACAGCTGATTTTTGTGCTTGCGTGGGTTGGGGTTAGGTAGGGTTTCTTCAGAGGAGCATGGTTGCTAGTTGCTGTTGCCTGGCTAGCACTGGGACTTTGAAGGAGCTCATCACGTAGAACTTAAACTCTCTTTGAAGAGTTCTGGGTATATTGGTGGAAGTAGCTCAGCAGGCCCAGAAGTTTTCTTAGGTCATCAGTTGAACTGGGTTTCTTGTTTTGCAGCGTTTGAACTGCAGCTATGTCCGCTGGGTCCATCTTATGTCCCTTGCCAGAAATAATTTGTCCCAGGTAGCAAACTTCCCTTTCCAGAAGCCCATTTGTTTGGCTTAAGCTTGACACCTTTATCCCAAAGCCATCTGAGAATTTGTCGCACATTCTCCAGGTGCATGTATAAAGTGTCTCTAAATACCAGAGTATCATCAAGGTTGACTACTGCAGTTTCCCCACCTAGATCACCGTGACAAAACTCCATGCACCTTTGGAAAACTGCAGGTGCATTAGTTAACCCAAAGGGAATCTGATTCCACTCATATAAACTCTAAGGAGTGATGAATGTGATCTTCTTTGTCTTTCTTCTGCCATAAAGCCTTGATGATATGCATTCTGTTGGTCAATGGGTAGAAAACCAACAGTTTCCTTTGAGACTGTCAAGGATGTTTTGGATTCATGGTATCAGCTGTAGGTCTGGTATAGTCTTCTGATTAGGCTTGCAATAGTTGATACAAAGATGGAGCGAACGGTGATTCTTTCGGACACAAACAATGGGAGACGGATAGGGAGACTCTGAGTTCTCAATCCAACCCCTCTCAACAAGATCTCGCAGATATAATTCCACTTCTCAGTGCAAAAAAAGTGTGGGAACTGACCATGATTACTTATGCACTGAACTGACCACTGGGGACACTGTCTTAAGTTTGATGGTCTGAAACAATGAGGAAATCCAATATGTTTACTCTGAAAACTTTACACTCCGTCCAACAATAAGTCTCAGTCCATCAAAGCTTTGTCTTTGTCCACTGAAATGACAACTATCAGCCTCTGGACAGCTCGTTGAATGAGAGTGTAACTGGCTACTCCACACTGGCTTAACTTGTCAGAATTCTTCATCTTCACCTCAACATTCTTCACATGTCCGGCCTCATCAGGGTAGATTTCATCAGTGATCCCGTCGGACCTTAGGATACGGGTTTGCATAACACTTGTTATCTCAATCGCTTTAATCCAGAATAGCTCTTCTTGCTCGATGTCCTCTGTGATGAGAACTTTGGTTGCCTTTCTAAAACTCCTTATGTTATACATGGCAAGGCTTCTGGCGGTGACCTTCAGGAGTTTCTTGCAGCTACTGAACCTGTTGGTATCTCTTCTGCTGACCAAGGTGTCAACTTCATTTGCGTCAGCAAGCATTACTACCTTTGCTCTCTCTGGAAGGGTGTGTTCAGAACAGGTCTGTTCAATCAGTCACTGCTCAATGGGCTGCTGCAAGAAGGCTGGTCCCTGCTGCCAGGTGCTGTCACATCCAATCTCCACTGGAGTCTTGCCTCTGGTGATGAAGTCTGCGACGTTCAACTCTCCTCTGCACCACCACCACCAGTCTTGAGGTTCAGTGGCCTCCTGTATTTCACCAATGCGGGTAGCAATGAAGGTCTTGAACCCTTAGCTCTGCTTCTGAATCATGGACCTCATGATTTCGCTGTCAACTATATGGAATTCCCTGCTGAACTCCAATGTCATCTCCTTCTTGATGGAGCAAGTGAGTCGTTTGTTGAGTACTGCTCCACGTAACTCAAGCCTGATGATGCTTACAATCTCTGTAGGAGCAATGTGACTCATGCTGGCCACTAGGTTGTAGGTGTAGCTACCATCCTAAAGCAGCCAGTGGACAAATGCTACAGTATCGAAAGCTTGCTCAGGGCCATCAGAAAAGATGATGAGGGTCAACTTCACTGTCGGATCAGCATCATCTGGTTTGATGCAATGGTGGAAAGAGATTGGCAACTTCAATCAGCTCTACGAAGAAAATGAGCCACTTCTTTTTTATCTCCTTGGACATTTCATCATAGCAGCTAAGTTTAAGGTCCCATATCATACGTAGCAGGATCTTTGCTTTGATGGTGATGGGTGCAAGTAGACCGAGTGGATCATATAAGTATTCCATTCATGGGCTGAGACACAGCTTCTTTATCAAAATGGTGGAGATCGCTGTCAGCACTTCAGTACGCTGCAAGGCTGGCCCATGTGTTGCATTTCTCTTCATGGGGGAGAAAGTGATTCTGGTAATGATGCAAACACATCTTTCTTGGGGGCCCAAGCCATGCCCAGAACTTTCTCGCTGATGTCTTAATTGGCTCACTCCAGGTGGGACTCTCCATTCTCTGTACCAGAGAACATCTAATCCTTCCTTCAATGAACTTCTTTATACAGTTAACATTAAGTAAGTTGTGTTTAAAATCTACAACATGAAAATACAAATAGGAACTAACAATAGGTAAACCTTAATAATGGACTATCAAACAAAACCAAGTCACTACTTTAGTTGGCAAATAACATCATCTATGAAGAACCTACTCATATAAATCCCTAAATCCTGCATTTATAAGTCAGTTAAACAATAATGAACTATTGTCTTCTAGAAGAAGAAGAATCATGATCATCACAGAAACCATGCAGTAATAAACAAGAAACATCAAATTTCTCTTACACTGTTTTGTTTCTGTAAGCAGCTAAACTCACAGGAAATCTTTCTCTCTCTGAACTATGGAATACACTGTCTGAAAATATAACCTGGGTTATTTATGAGATCTAACGGCTTCAATTTATATGGCCAATTCTGCAAACAACTCTCATCCTTCAGTTCTGAAATCACATGGAAAATGTATTTGCATAGTGTACATGTGGCAAGAATGTCTAGTGACCTCTCTAGATATGCAAGAAAAGTATTGGTGTGTATGCTTGGAATTTGACCATAATTACTTGTACTTACTGAACTGACCACTGGGGGGCTATCTTACATTTGATGGTCTGAGACAATTAAGGAAATCCAATTAAGGAAACTCCTAAACTGTACAATTTCTAACTAATTTCTGGCTCTGCCACACTCTATCCAGGCTCTTCCCACCTGTCCTTGCTTCTACACAGCATTCTCTCTCTATCCTGTCTATGTCTCCTCTCTGCCCTTAAACTTTGTTATATCCTCAAGCCACCAGTATTTCATGCCACTTTCAGCTTGTGGTTGCTGAATGGGTGCTGTCATTTCGCTTACACATGTACAGAAAGCGGAAGTGCACCCATCCTAGCAAGGTTGCCAATACAGGTGAGGCTATAAGTCAGGCACTCCGTGCAGGACGTCACTACGCATCATGCTGCATCGAAAACCCATTTACAGAACCGATGGACAGACACACTGCAAACAACACGTGGGTGCAGTGGCACACTTGCCCGTATGTAGTATACTGAGCGCACGGTGGTCGCTTTAATCCATTTATTTTTGCGACTTTGTGTATCATCAAGAAACGCGTAAGAAGTTAGTCTCTGTGGAATAGCTGGCACACCTACATGATATGGAGTAAGTACAATGTATTTGGCTTTTGTTATTCCGTACTTGTACTTTACAGGAATAAAATTCATAGGCCTAGCTCTTAAGACCATGGAGAAAGGAAATGACCATGTTGAGACCAATCCTAGGAGTAGGACCAGGATCAACACTAGGCATGCCTACAGTATACATGTATGTACACAGCCCATTTCTGTGTGAAAATGACACATGTGCGTAACTTTAATAGGTCTGTGCCCACTTAGATTTTGCACACATTTTGCAAATTGTTTATCCCTCCCAAGCAAGTCGTTGGGTGTGACGATGTGCTCACCATGCTCATGTGCAGCTGTAACACTACCATTTCAGTACTTGTACTACTAGGCCATCCTGTGATACAAGGCATGCTCTGCATATTAGACTTTTATTAAATGATATTTGACGTGACTGCATCAGGATGATGTAGATCAGTTAATCAATTGTCTGAGCAAGTTAGACTCTACGAATTGACTTTTTAAAGATTTGGATATGGTCCAGCGAAACATGGCAATGTAAACACACTGTATGCTCATGAGTGTCAAGTCGCCAACTTGGCCTGGAATCAACTCACTCTGAGTCAACTCCGTCTCAGGTCAACTTGGTCCCAAGTCAACTCGGTCTTGACAACTATGGAAGGCAGGCACTTGGCTGCAGCATGAATAAAAATCTTCCAAGCTAGTTTCAACACACTTTAACATACCTGTATTAAAGTACACATATTTCCAGAATTCTAACATTGCATGTACTGTTCATGTAAATTTACTGACATGTGCCTGAGATGCCTGGCCATGTAATTTGGGAAGGACAGGCACTTGGATGCATCATTGATTACTGCAGATGAGAAGGCAAAATCCCAGTCTTTCTTGCCGGCTTGACAAACTTTGGCATATAAGTATTTCCAGAAATCTAGCATTGCATGTACATGTTAATTACAAACATACAAACAAACTGTACATGTATATTAGCCCATTAAGCCTGATACAAAAGTCAATGAAAAACTTGGTTCCTGATATACTTGTAACTTCTGTGTTGTTGAAGTGGAAATCAGTGGATTTTCAAAGACTCAGACTTGAACTTAGACTTAGACCTTCTGGACTTGGACTCGAACAATGAGAACTTGGCTACCAGGACTTGGCCCAAGCCCCTCTCCCTGATTTTTAACTTTATTTAACTGCGAAAGACTGGTGGTCTATATTTTTATATGTCTGTGGTGCTGCGACATGTGCAAAATGGGAAAACAGGACATGACAAGGTTTGGAATGCTCCTTGATACATTTGTAGGCTAAGGCCAAACAAAAAATTAGGCTTGTTTTCCTGTTACACTGAAAAATAAATTAGGGTGCTTGGTTGGGATGGCACTTTCGGTGTCTCAATTCAGTTAGGGTTATGTACATGAACGATACTTGGGTAGGACTGTGAGAAGGCACAATTTTCCTGGCAACGGAGGCTCCTTTGGTGGGAACTGCACCACAGGCGATTATGAAGTACACACATCATGGTTGCATCACTACCAGTGAATAAACTCTCCCCACCAACAAGCATGACATGGCTCTTTTCAACCAATGAGGGGGAGCTTCTGCTCAAAGAGAATAGACCTACACGAACATTTCAGAAAGAATTCCATGATGTATGATGATGTACACTTATCCAGGCTTTTCTTCCCACCTCTAAAACTGAACATCTCTTCATTGTCTTCGTCACTCATTATCATCTTGTAATTGGCGCTAAATGCGCTGTTGGATGATCAGATAAATAAATAAATAAAATAAATGTAGATGTAATATGGATTGGGCTTGACACCCTTTGCACAAATGGACCATGGAGGAAGAAACCTTATGACACTGGTCTGAAATGTTCAAGTGTTTTCTTAAAAGTGAATACCAGCAACATTTTCACTGCTAAATTTTGGCCCTTTAGGACACTTTTTATTGCTTTGAGATGGCTGGTAGAGCCTGTACTAATAATGTTAGGTCACTGTAGGGAATTATTAGTGGCATCAGTAATGGATTTCTTTCCATACATTTAGGCCTACATCTCGACTAACATCGAGGATATCAATTACATGTAATCATGCCATTGCATCCTGACTGTTAGCGTTCCCTCACGTGACGCCCTTGAAAAAAATTGCCAAAACCCCACATAAACATTTTGAGAAGTTCTGTAAACATGATAATTTCTATTATTATCTCAATTTACATACACTTAAAGGTTTGTTGGAAAATTATTTTAAATTTTTGGGCAGGTTTAGAAGTGTGTATTTTGCATCAAAGGAAAAAAAAATGGGAAAAATAAGCCAAAATAAATATTTCATTGGAAAGTTGTAGAGGGTGAGTTAAATCAGGAGTTTTGAGATTGATGTTGCTCCAGCAAGGCACTGGAGGCAAAAAAAAATCAAACTGCGCCAAAGTTAGGGGGCGTACAGTTAGGGAGCTTCAACAATAAATGAAGGATGTTGCTGTGATAACAGTAACAGCTGAAGGGATGCATTGTCTTTGTTTTTATTGTAGGAGGAAGTCATTAAGAGAAGTTAACACGTAGAGTCAGTGATGACATCTGTATTTTATCTCCTTTTTGTTCTTCTCAAGAAGCGGGATTAAGAGACTCAAGTTCCAGTGAGGACCCAAGTGACAGCCACTCTGACAGTGATGAGGAGCAAGAAAAGTGGCTGGAGAAAATAGCAGGTAGAAAAGCTGTCACTTGTCAGTCATGTATGCCATCCGCGAAGAAATCAATTTTTGCAGGTAGATTTGGTCCTAATATTGAAGTTTTATCTCAATCTGTCATATAGTTTGACAGTCACTTAGAAGTAGGAAATGGCAGTGGAAAAGTACATGTATACATTCTTGGTTGACTTCTCTCAGAAAAAAGGTGCTGTGCAAGAATGGTATGTTGGATTTTCACAAAAATGGTGTCAGAATGACCAAAAAGAGTTATTAAAAAACTTCAGAAGGCTTCTTGAAAAATAACATGCACTTTGATAATATTGGAAAATATGTTAAAGGGAGGTGGATTCCCTCTCCCTTCCCCCAGCTCTTTAGGGTAAAATTCAGAGGTTCATCAAGAAATTTCCACTCACACAGCCAGACTTTTCACAATTTGTTAGGTTGAGAAAGCAGTCACTGGGTACCTCCTGTTTTTTGTACATGTGTCAACTGGCTGAAGATGGACCTTTTCTGAATCAGCCGGCTTAGGCTGACAGAATTACACAAGTCTGTGGCAAATGACCGAAGCCACTCACTTGTGGCTTTAATCATCTAGCCTCAGCCACACTTTTTGGACATCGCCTTAAAACCCACAACTCTGCCGGGGATATGCTCAAACAAAAGTACATTTATTACAATGCATACAGACATAACTGCTCCCTTTTTGTTACTGTATTTTTACCAGGTGTTAAAGGTGATAGCAGCGTGATTGGTTCCCTGCCCCTGGGCTCATCTTCTGGCATCACTGGCCTGATAGAGTAAGGTGATAGCAGCGTGATTGGTTCCCTGCCCCTGGGCTAATCTTCTGGCATCACTGGCCTGATAGAGTAAGGTGATAGCAGCATGGTTGGTCCCCTACCTGTGGGCTCATCTTCTGGCATCAATGGCCTGATAGAGTAAGGTGATAGCAGCGTGGTTGGTTCCCTGCCTGTGAGCTTATCTTCTGGCATCACTGTCCCAGCAGAGTAGCCATCTCTTGTTTTGTGACAATAATAGTCATGATTTGGTTGTTGCAACAATTTATTTAAAGGTACAGTCCATCATTTGTCTTTTGTGGATCATTTTTCTTTGAAGCAACAAAATTACTTCTAGGACTTAGATTCAGATCAGAAGTTGCTGAGTCATGTATTAAATTGTGCCTGATTTCAGCATCTGGGAAACATTCTCATATTCAGTCGAATGCAGCTACATCTTGCCACCCCCCTGAACTGATGAATTATAGAAACTGCTAGTGTCTGTGCATCGTATCAACGCTTGCACGCATTTGTAATAGTGATTTTCAAAAAATTTGAGAAGGCGCCTGCTTGAAATCATTCTTTCATCATGATGACCGTTCACAAGAATGAATAGGTTCTCACAGAATTTAGTCCTTTATCTAAACCAAGTATACTTTTCAGCAACAATTTTGGATACCCTTTGGATAACTGCAAATGATAGACTGTACAGTACTTTTAAGCCATTTGTCCTTGTACAGGGTTCCCACAGTCATTGAAAATCCTGGGAAAAAGTTGTCCCGGAAAGTCTTGGAAAACTCATGGAAAATTGGTCTGAGGAAAAGTCATGGAAATCAAGATTGTACAAGGGTGATTTTGATGGTGGTTTTGGATAGTACTATGGCAGTTCTCTTGTTTATTACACCAAACAAATTTTCCGTGCAGAGTGGCATTAAATGCCGCAGAAATTGTCATATTTTAGTTCTGGAAAGTGCAGGAAAGGTCACTGAATTTAATTTTCAGATTTTGTGGGAACCTCGCTTGTGAAAAGCTGGGCCCAATTTTTTGGCGCTGCTTAGAACGTGGTTTCACGCTTACAGATGCTCTGCGTATTTCATGCCTATCGTAAACAGTAAATACAGCCAAATGCATCCTAACCTTGGAGGAAAGATTGATGTAACAACAGAAATCTCTATCTGCACACAAGTGTTAGCACAACCACCCCCGAGCACCGCCATGAAATAGTGCTCAAGGTTAGCACATTTTTTCTGCTAAAGGTTGCATGATTTTTCTTCTGTGTTAAGAAGCCCCGTGAAATTGGGCACCGACCCCACCCAGCCTGTTACACCCTGCACTCCCCAGCACTGTATGGTTTTATAGATAAAACAGCGACCCACAATAAGAGTCCATGTGGTGATGGGTTGAAACATGAATGTTTTGCTCATTTGGAAAAATTATTATTACAGTGTGACTGAAAAACCTTATGTGACCTTTTCTTGAATATTTTGTCATTTTCCCGTGTTTAGATTTGGGAATGCCTCATTGCCAGGTGAATGTACTGTCGTGGCTGCCTACATGAACGTTGAGGCTGGCTAGTGTCATGGTACGAGTGGACTGACCCATGAAATCTCCAAAGCGAAGAGGCAGGTTACCTCATGAGTAGCACAGGTAAGAGTTCATATCATTGCTGGCTTCTGCAAAGATGAATCCGGGATGGGGGCAGGGGCCAATTGGGGTCATGACCAAAAAAGGAGCAAAAATTGTTTGCATTTAATAAATGAAAGGATTATATTTATGGTCTCTTTAATTTCCCTTCTTTTGAAAAGTGGAAATGTAGCCTAACCCCACAAACAACTTAAAAAAATATATTAAAAAAAAGGCCCCCAGTATCAAGTTTGTCCCCCTCCTGAAACAATTGGGTCCTGGATCCACCCTTGGGTGCTTGTGGCTAGCTGTTACGGGAACCCTGACCTAGGGATGGTTGTGTGCACTGTGTCAACCAAGCAAGACGATAGGGATGAGGTTAACCCTTGTAACGAGGGCAAGCTTGTTGAATGCACCCACTATACTAGAATCTTTCGCATTTTCCTGGCCTAAAATTCCTTTTCCTTCATGGTTCATTGCTGTTTCATGACAAATTACCCTTGATCAATGGTCCACATTTCCAGAGACATGTTCAACATGTTCAAGGAGCAATTCGGGTTTCATAGTTTTAATAGTAAAGCTCATGAAATGAAGCGTCTAATCATAGACACTGTGATCTCGGGCTACTGTGATCATGGGCTTTTTGTACAGTGATCCTGCATCTAATCATAGACACTGTGATCCGGGCTACTGTGATCACGGGCTTTTTGTACAGTGATCCTGAGGACTGTATTGCTCAAGTGAACAAGTTTGTTAGTTGGTGCGATGATCACTTCTTGTCCTTAAATACAAGTAAAACTAAAGAGATGATCATCGAACCTCTACAAATACATGGAAATGTCATTGAACAGGTGCATGAATACAAGTACTTGGGAACGGTAATAGACGATAAGCTCTGTTGGAAAGGAAATTGCCAATGTATTCAGAAACAAACTAGTCAGAGGATGTTCTTTCTCCAAAAGCTCAAGAAATTTCATGTGGATAGGACTTTCATGACCCTCTTTTATCAATCAGTAATTCAGAGTGAAGTTACTTTTAATTTCATTTGCACCTTTGGTAGGGCAACAGGGCAGACTAGATCGTACTTGGAAAATGGCACAGAGATTAACAGGCCAAGAACTTACCCCTGTCCAAGTTATGTATGACACTTGTCTTCTGCCCAAAGTACAAAAGATAATGTCAGACATAACCCATCCACTCAACGAATGTTACAGGTTTAATTGTTCTGGGATTCGTCTGTGCCCCCACTCGCAGTCGACTTTGATACAGACAGTCATTTATTCCAAATTCAATCCACTGTTAAAATGCAAATGTGAGACGGTAACTATTTATTTGGATAACCCCTCTCCTTGGCACTCTTTCATTGGTAGTAATGGGTGAGAATATGCAATATCATTTAGGAAATTATTATCTTTGTAGACTGTGATTGCCATTTCTGTTACTTTAATGCAATTTTGTTGTTTTGTTGAGTGTGATTGTAATATTGATGAATGCAATAACTTACTCTTTGGAATAAGCCAATGGAAAGTAAATTTCTATGTGAATTTTTGCATGGACGATAATAAATTTGAATCTTGAATCAAATTCCTTTAGACCGACAACAGCAGGGGCATAATTTTAGGAAAGTCTCCATTTTTAATAACCATGAGCAAATGGCTGCCTTGTCCCCTGGGGTTTCATGATTTTCTGTGCAGCACTGCTCTACATCAAAGGAGATGGATTGGGTGCAACTGTGGGAATTGTCCATCAAAGATATTATTTGGCCCTGTTGGTCTTTTTATTCAAGTTCTAACCTGGCATAGTTCAATTTTTGTTCCTTATAATATTGCCCAATATTACAAGCCATTAGTAGAAGCCAAGGCACAAATTATGTGAAATTCAGATAAATTCCTGACACCCCTGATTAGTTATTATCTTTTTTGAAAAGCAAATTTAGCATATTTTTTCAAGTTTTATCTGATAGAGCACCGACAACTGTGTTTCCAAAACATTTCCAAAATAAAGTCGAAAAATTAAAATCACATACCTTATGGGGATTTGTTCAGGCTTTTTGAAGGTGAGCAATGAATATGGACAAAAATTTAAGTGTTCAGAGCTCTTATTTAAAGGATTTACCTTAATTTAATAAATATTGAACCAAAACACAAGAAGCACCATGTTGTAAACACATGTAACAGTGGTTTCAGTCATGATCCAAAATTCCTGATTTGTTTCCAACTTAATAGACTTGTGCACACTGGTTGAAACATTTCTGCGTACACTTTCGGGATCAATTGTTAAATTCTGTAGGGGCTGTTGGTCCATTGATATTTTAGGTTTGTGGTCTTCCCTGATTGATGTTACAGTATTACTTTAAAACAGCGCCCTCACTTGTTAGGAATAGGGAAAAACAATTTTGAGTGTTTAAAAATCTCACGTTTTGATTCACTAAACACTAAAAGGGTGCCTGGAAAAACATTTTTAAGGGTACAAATCACAAATGCTTTCAGAAGACATGGGTCAGCAGTGTCAAAGGAATTGTCTTGTCAAAGTTCATTTTCTGACATGAAAATGGATGAAACACAATAGACACTAACAGTTTTTTATGAAATAAAAGGTGTAAAATAAGGAGCATTTCAAGGATGGAATAATTTTTTAAGAAAGGTCTCAATTTCTGCTCCAACTTAGTTCCTTTTATGATTAATTTCTTCCCCAGACCTCCTCATATGAAAGCTGTGGGTATGCCCCAGGAGAAGCAGACCATGGTGCTAATGAGGAGAGTGCCCTCGCCTCTTCAAAGTGGAGAGAAGGAAGATGGAGGATAAGATCCTATGGGACTTCACAGAGATGATTCATGAGAATGTCAAGGAGAGGAAGTAACTCGAATAGATGCCAGTCCTTGCCTCCATCACTGAGGAGGAACAGTTTCCAAGATTGCATGAGGGCTCCTCATCAGAATCTTAGGTATTGAAGGCAAGGAAAGGACTTAATCTTCTCAGAGATGCAGTTCCTTGCTTCCACCTTTAAGCGATGGAGGAAGTCTATCAGCATTTGTACACTACTCAAGGATCAAAGGATCATACGTAGTGATTAATAATTTAAACAAATGGTGTTCACATCGCCAAAAATGAGCATCATTTAAGTTGGCTATTTTCTGTCAGCAAAATAAGACACTTCCACTACAGAGTACTGAAGTCTCACAACACTGAAAAAAACCTTGGTCAGCACCTTATCCAGGTCCTTTAGGTCCTGATAATGATGTATGAAAAAATTGAGTTTTAACCTAGTAATGTGAGGGCGCTGTTTATGAGTTAAAATGATATCGCGGTAATGTGAGGGCGCTGTTAATGAGTTAGAATGATATCGTGGTAATGTGAGAGCACTGTTTATGAGTATATTCTGGTAATGTGTGGGAACTATTTGCGATTCTGAATCACAGAAATGAAGCACTTTGAAGATGTTTGTATTTCAGCATGAAAAAATTTCATGTAACTTTTGAGACCCTTTTATTCAGTAAAATAATGCAATGTCTGACTTGTATCAGTTTGCAAATCTTCCCCCGATTATTTTTATAATTATTTGTAAAAATGATGATTGATACAGAAAAAAATCATGGTCAGGACATTAAAAAAAACAGCTTCACAGTTTTCCAAAACCTAAAACATAAAATGGTAAGAGGTCCCCCACATTTCAGTCACTTTTTCTCAAAATGTCCTAAAGCGAGACACGTGTACATCATTTCACCACAATAGGTTGTATAGTACTGGCCAGTCTCATTCATGTCATTGTACCCTCCAACTCTCTAAGACACTCCCAGTCTCTTGTAGCCTTGCCATAGAGTCATCCCATCCTTAATTGAAGTTGTGCAATACCTGAGCAATACACATCACCCAATGCTTTTTGACCCTTCCAGCTAATTGGGCTCTGAAACATGACTAACCAATTGCACTGTCTCACATTCAATGTTGCTCAACCAAGCATGAACATGAGCTTCAGTCTACAATAAGCACGGTCAATGAGGTGCACACCTGGCTGAAATTGTCAAAGACAAATGTCTGATCCTTTAATTTTTTTGAGTAGTGTATATTGATATACAGAACAATGCTGCTATAATGAACAGGACAGGGTCCATACACAATGCTTGGTGTAGCATACCTCCCCAGCTATTGCGATTTCATTGGTACTGTTCTAATTGTTGCATTTTCAGAGGCCGAAAATCCAGACATTCCGATTTCCATAAAAAGGGGGAGGGGAAAAGTCCTGGCAAAAGAGGGCACTATTTGAGTCACTGTCATCAGTCCTAAACTTCTTCTTTGAAGCAAATTTGTGATGTTCAGTAAAATAGCGCAGAAAATTTGGGAGCCAAGAGGCATGTTCCGTATACCGAATTGTTCAATTTAGTGACGTTGTACTGTACTTACATCCCAATTGTTCATAACTTTAGCGGTAATCTGTAAATTGAAGACAGTTGGTCAGTTTGCTTTTGAAGAAGACTATTGTTCGCCTTTATTTCATTGACTCATATTAATGTACATTTTAAAACATTCATGTTTAAATTTAAGTTATCAAGATGCTATACATTTACTTCAAAATTTGCAAATACATGAAATTCCCATTTGGAAAAACTAGTTTTTTGCAGCCAAAATGTTTAAATTTTGACCAATTCTGTTGCCCACATTAATGTCTAAAACAATATTTTCCACTAAACAGCTTTTAGTGCTTTCTAAGGACCTTTTATTTATTTCATTTGAAAATAGTACCTTGCAAAAGTGCTTTGTGTATGTGTAAAACAATCACCATTTATTGCTATAACCAGTTAATCTCTATTTGCAAGTGAAATAAATTTTATTTAAACTAGCAGAACAACTTGTTTGTACTTGTATATCTATTTGTAAAACTGTAATACTGTGCCACTTAACCCGTCTCCTAATCTGGACCATTTTACACTGCCAGAGATTAAGGTACATTTGTTTCCATCTTTAAATTTTACATTACAGCCTCAACCTACATGGAAGCCCTGCCATTCTTAAACATCTTCCAAGCTCCTTATATAAAGTTCCCTCTTGGAGCCTTTTAGTCTCAATCTTATAAGGGCCACAATAAACCCAATAGTAATATGGAACATTAAGAAGCTATTTCCTTCAACCCCATGCGATCCTCAGAGCTCTAATACTGATAGTCCCAAGCCCTCAGCCATCCACTCTACCCTTCCTATCAGCTCTCAGACTTCCAGCCCCTAGGACTTTCACCCTTGCCAATCTCCAGTACACAGTTTGGCTGAAAAATATTCT